ATAGGCTAATACATTCACTTGTATCACTAGGTCTCTTAGCCCTTCCTGTTTACAGGAGCTCTGTCAACAAAAAAATGTATTTATTGCTTATATTGACAGTGTTGAAATGTCTATGAAATTCTACAGCAGTCAAAAAATATCATAAGGCAAATTAGAGACTACTTCATCTTGTGGTAAAAGCCTCATGTGGACAAACGTTGCTAGCAATGGCTATTCTCTCACTCATCGTGAGACTTGATCAACAGAGCTCCCGCATCTCATGAGTGTTGTGCTGTTATTATGAAATACCAGGGGCTGAAAATGGACATAACAGAGCCTGTTGGGCACAGTTTCAGGTAAGTATAAGTTACCTCTGCTGCAGCCTGGGCCATGCACTGATGTAACCATCAAAATATGCTAAAAGCCCTGAACGTGATAGAGCTTCTCTAAAACATCTATCAAGCAGTGATTATTCACCCTAAAATTGCAATTCCAGAATTTAATGAAGGCAATGCTGCTTCACATATGGAGAAAATCTCCACATTAAATACAAAGCATACAAATGAAAAGATTAGCAAAGCCCAGAAATGATCCTGATTTTCTTCAGATTCACATTACATTCCATAATTTCAGCTAGCATATTTGTTTTACCAGTGTACTGAAATCATTAAATATTATTATTATTATTGCCATTTATATAGCGCCAACAGATTACGTAGCGCTTTACAATATTATGAGGGGAAATAGACATGTTTGCTTGATGGGATGCAAAGTGTTTAAGAAACACTCCACACATCTTTTTGTTGAGGGTGATGAAGGCAGTTTTTTCCCTTAGCTAGGACATTTGCACTAAGGCCAAACAGAGTGTTCACCTTTTCTTTAGGCCAAACGCTATAGTAAATTGAACATACGAAGAACATTCTATGTGACTAGAAAACAGATTTGTAAACTGTATATTTGATTTATTTAAATGTAAGCAATTACATCTCAGTGGAATTATGTCTTGAGTTAATATGCCTTATTGTAATTTGTGAAATTGCCTCAAAGGACACTGTAGGCACCAAGACCACTTGAGCTCATTGAAGTAGTATTGGTGCAGTGTCCCTATTGCACTTAGTGCTGCAATGGTAAACATTGAAATTCCAGAGAAACTGCAATGTTTACATTGCAACTCTAAATCTGCTTCCAGGTGCTGTCTCCTTTGGTCAAGTAACTGACGCTTGACGTCCTCACACTCTGCATGAGGACATCCAGCGTCAGATTTTTACCTCTATGAAAGCATAGGATAGCTCGTCGCCGGATGTCAGTGTGGCGAAAGTGACCTCGCCACTGGTTTTTGGAGGGGTCTGTTTGCCAGCCTCCTGCCCTGCGACTATGGCCCTGGGATGTATTGCCCTTCTAGGAACTGATTTGGGCATATTGTATTTTATTATGCTGCTGCTGACCCTTTAAGAACCATCTGGGGACATACTGTGGAGTTACTGGGTGGCCACCATTTCATGTATCAGAGGCACATGGTGAGAACAATGGATGAAGCACATGGTGAGAACAATGGATGGCGGCCATTTTAACTCGCAGACACTGTTTCTACACGGTGCCATCTAGCCGGTATTTGGTGCACAAAGACATCGTTCAGTAGTTTTAAACTACTGAACGGATCTGGGTGAATTTTGGATATGTGGTTCATCCAGATCCCCCAGTTCCGAGGATATATATATTGTTTATGGGGTTATTGCATGTTTTGGGGTCCCTGTGATACGTTTTATAATACTGTATTTTCCTGCCTGTGATAATTAAGTTAGTCTATTGTGTTGAGATAATTGTAACACAGGCACAGGGGAGGATTTCTGATGTAATGAATAGGAGTGTTAGCTGTGTTGATTGGTTGTTCTTCAAAACCCTGTGGGCAGTACTATGTTTGTAGAATGTGAATAAAAGAGGCTGTATGTGCCAGTACAGACAGTTCTACTTCACCCTCAGTTTGGAGTTCCGTCTCTTATTGGGGAATCTGCTACAAGGATTGCTTTGCTAGTCATACTCCCTTGCTATATCACTCCTAAGCTCTTTTAAGAGCATGTTCCTGCTTCACTCTCTTGGAGGAGAGGTTCACCCACTGGAACCTGGAGCCTTGTGGGTAGGAGACGGCGAGACCCCAACCAAGCTGCGGCGGTTAGTGGGGTCTGTGGTGGTTGTGGCGTCTGCGGAGCGCTTGGAGCCCTCTGTAAGCGCTAGGAGCATCCTTCAACTGAAGTACCCAGTCAGGGTGCCAGGTGATCCGTTACAGAGGTGGCAGAGCCGTGAACCAGCACCGAGAGA